ACGCTGTTCAAAATTCCTATTTGATTCCGCTAATTGTGATACTACCACATGGAGTTCTTGATTACTTTGCTGTAATTTCTCTATATTTTTTTACTATAGTATAATGGAAAAACCTTTGATTTATATCGATCCACAAAAAGCCTATGAACTCAATCAAGAAATCGCTAAAAGTAAAAAAGCTAAAGATCGAAATTTGATATTACAAAAACCTACGATTCTTATTGATTCCCAAAAAGCATGTGATCTTGACCGACATCTTGCCTTACAGAAGCTGTATTATCAGCCCGAGGGTCTCTATCAAAATGTTAAGAGATTGTGAGACGCTTGTAAGAAAGCTGGCTACAACTTTCTATTTAATGATATAAAAAAATAGCTTGATGGCCAAGCAATGTATTAAATTTTTCATCCTCCACCAAGAATATACCTTATGCCAGTTACTCTAAAATTACAAAACCGAATTCTGTATACCAGTGCAATTTAATTGAAATACCATATGATGAAGATGTGGATATGGGTTTGTTGGATAATGGCCCAATATTTTACTATGTACTATTGGTCATAGACTGTGCAACTAGATATAAAGATTTCGTTTTTTTAACATCAAAAAGTAGTGAAGAAGTCGCAGAAATATTTAAGAGTATATATAATAATCCTGACAATCCTCTTAACTAGGCTCGGCTATTGCAATATGACCAAGGTCATGAGTTCATGGGAAGTGTGACATTGATAATGGATGAACACAATGTTAACATCTGAAGAATTAAAGCATGTTTCAGGCATACAAGCTTGGCTATGGTTGATCGTTATGCCAGATTATTCGAATTAAGAGTTTTTAAAAATCAATATGCGATAGAGTTTCTCTTACCTACTGGCGAACGCTATAAAGAGTGCAAACGATTTGCAAGAAGAATTGTTAATAACATGAATGATACTCCTACTCGGTTAATTGGAATGAGTCCCAATAACGCCACAAAACTTGAGCGAGTGTATTTCAAACCATCAGTAAAATATAATCGTCCAATAGGTGTTGATGAACCGCGACTATCAAAAGGTACTACTATCCGATTTTTGCTTGCTCCTGGAGAATGGGAAAATGATCCTTTCGAATGACGCAAAATCACAGATCCAATATGGTCTCCCAGCCTATATAAAATCCGAAGAATTGTTGTTGGAAAAAATCCTTCCATGCCCATTTTATATTATTTAGATGAATCGGGACCTCGGCATCTCTTTGTAAGAGAACAATTAATGCATATTAAGGAAGAGCCTATGTTGCCTCCTAGGTGAATATTGAGAGATAACTGAATGCATATAAGGCGCTTTTTATAAATGTTTCTAAGTCTACTATGCAGTAGGGTATAGTAATGAGAATTACTCCTTCCTTGTAGCATAATGCCCTCTTTTCCCAATCACGACAAATTTGTGCATCTAGATTCATCTGCCCTTGCGGGTGAAAAAAAGGCACGATTTGATAATGCTGATTACCACTATATTCGAAGGCCAAGCCTAGCTCCTCATTATACCCATCTAGATGTAATCCTTTTAAGAATTTAGGTTTTCGAAGAGGAAATTTTTTATGTAATAAATCCTCAAATATATACCGGCATGTTCTTTCTAGTACATTAGGGCAAATATTACACCATCGGTAATTCTGTTTCATATTTTTATATGATGCCTCCTATTGATGTTTTTTCTTACATACTCATAAATATGTATTAGAACTAACTTTAGTTAAGCATCTTCCTTCACGCTTTTGGGCATATGCCAAAGCTTTAGTATTAATTTCGTCTTGCATTTTATAGGTACAATAGAATATCACATACAGAAATTTGCGACATAGGCACGTCCCAGAAAAATGCTAGCGCCTTCTCGTGATAAATCACTTGAAGTTGCAAAATTATTTTTTTCAAATGAAATGAGAAAAAAAAGAGTATACATCCTTTATTTTTTCCAACTCCAATATATCAAAATACCTAGAATGTTTATTGTAAAGTTTTTATATATTTTTTAAGCCATTTTTTTGCCTCATTCTGGGAATAGACATCAATCTGCTTCTCTTTTTCATCTGAATCTTTAAGTTGTGTGATTTTATGTGAAGAAGGTAGTTGATATTTTTCATCCTCATTGATAAAGCGTGCACACATTCCAACCGTAGTGCCTAAATAATAATTTCCATATTTCGCTCTTTTGCTATATTCGTGTACTTCATATAATCTCCAACTCTGTGTGGTACTTTTCTACTCTGTTCATTATAGAGGGGTGGGCCTTTGATGACTACGTAGCTAAACCGTTCACCAGGATCAGGAATCCTTTCATTTCTCTTTTTCATACGTCCCATAAAGCAATTGTTGCAGAGATTTTTTTTCTTAGGCTTCTATGTACCCATTACGATAAATTCATTGAAATTCCATTTCTTGTTCTGTGCTTCTCTAAGAGTATCTTTAACAATTTTGTGAATTGAGCATGTATTATTTATATCCATAGCCTCTCTTATAATCCTTTCTCCAATGAATTTGAGAAGCTGGGATTTACCTTGCTTTACACTATCTATCCCTTTTATAAAAAGGTTTTTCGGTTTAAAGTTTACTTCATCTTTATGTCCAATCCCAAAATACTTCTTTTTGCCAATAAAGCAAAATACCTCTTCATATGCCATATTTAGATAAGAGGTCCCACTTTTTATCCTAAGATAGGCATTTATTTGATTGCGCAACTTTTCCATCACAACCATAGTAATTTTGACCATTTCAGCCCAGTACGCTTCTTTGGAAAGTTCTTTTCTAGAGAAGACCTCATCATATTTATTGTAATACCTATCTGGGCAGGTAAGATACAAAGAATCAGTATCACCGTATTTTATCTCAAACTCTTTCTTTGTTACGAATTCTGCTACAAGATTAAGGTTGTATTTTCCTGCTAAAGTAGTTCCTCCAGCTAATACAAGAAGAAAGATTGGAGATTTTGAGTTTCCGGCCTCCCCATAGAAAGTATTCATATATACCTTCAGAGCTTTTTGCTTTGAATCAAAATAATTGTAATCGAAGCATATGGATAAATATTCTAAATTTAAACTCTCTGGAATCCTTTTGCCTCTTTTTTTAGCTGAACTTATCATCTTCCCAAATCGTTCCTTCTTCTTTCTTAATAAGGCAAGATGTGCTTTAAGCTCTACTCTCTTGTTGAATAAATCCTCTAATACAACAGGATATAAACCCTTCTTTTCGAATTGATTATCATGCCTTACACTCCAAGCTTGGATGGTGCAGTTATTAAATGGAAACTCAATCTTATACAACTTGCTTCCATTATTTTGCGCAATATCAGCCTCTCTATGTGTTAGTATTATTTTATCTGAAGAGAGATTGTAAGCCATGATGAGACTAGGATATAATGAAGCAAAATCTAATCCCATTACAGGTCTTCTCATTTCAATCTCTTTTTTAGGTAGAAATACGTATGCGCCAGGATACTTATCCTTTTCTGTGTTTTCAGATATCCTTGTGCTAATTACCATATCTCGTTTAAAAACGTAAGCACCCAGAAGGTTTCGTACCTTCATTATATTTGCACGGTAGTGTGAGTCGAATAAAGATACATAAGCTATTGAAGCAACTTCTCTGTAATCATTTATTTGACTTAGCTTGACCAAAAGCTCTTGACAGCATAGTGCATCTATAATACAGTAATGTGCTACTTCACGCATATTTCTTGCAGTTGACGAGGAGGAGCTTTTTTTCACTTCTGAATAGATTTTCCATATTTTATCGTATAGCATGTCAGCCTTAGTCTTAAGACCGCATTTTTCTAAGAAGAATTTAAGTGAGCCTTCCTTTTCGACTTTAGAACGAGGGAAACGTCTTTTGAGGCACACCCGGGCATCAATTGGTATACAACCTGGCAGTTTAAGGAAGCTAGAAGTAAAATTCTCTTCCGCACTAATTTTGACTACCCATATATTCTTTCTCCTCTGGATCCTCCTCGCCTTCCTCAGAAGGCTTAACAGCATTCTTTGCCTTAAAAACATTTTCAGATTTCGCTTCTATCTTTCCGCGATATTTCCATTTTAGGATTTCTTCCTTTGTTTCAAACTTTCCTGTCATTCGCTCCCATATCTATTCGAATATATCAAGTTGATATGCTCTCTCCATAATAAAACACCAATCATAGTTAGAATTATTAAACCCAGCTTGGATATCAGGTGCAAATGCTCGCCAGCAGAGGGCAAATGCTTTCAGCAAATTTTCTTGGTTTCCACAAATGATTGTAGTCCAGCATGGATCTGGTTCTGTCTCAACATCAACAAGACATATTTGCTTTAGTGGTTTTGGATTATCTTTCCAATACAATGTCATACAAATCATAAAAACATTATGATTCAGATCAAGGACTTCAGGAAATTCACCCAACTCTTGTAATTGCGTCTCTATATCCTACGTGAGGACAAGAGTACGATCTTGTAAGAGAGCTGTAATAGGAAATCAATCACTTATTGTTGTAAAATCCTCTAGCGGACAGAAATCTTTTTTAGACACTTAAAATTTTATGCAGACAGAGCGGGCTGGTCCATTTGCCTTTTTTGCATATATATTTGTTTATTGTAGACCACCCAGAGAGTTGGATTCCGTTTTCTTGAGCCACCTTTCAGTGGAATGAGTATAAATCATCTGAAGCAGTTTCAAAATTATTATCTTGAACAGCTTTGATGGCTCTCTTTCTCTCTTCAGTACCATTTGTATAAATTCATAAATATGGTTTTTTTTTGGTATAGTATTCGCGGAAAGGATATGCTTCATTTTAAATGATTTCACGATGCCAGAGAGAATTTCGCTCACCTTTTCTTTGCATTCATCTGGAGTTTCTCCGTCTGGTACGCGAATGTCAAAGAAAACCTGAATGCCTATAAGAGTTACCAATGCCTTTTGGCTATTAATAAGGCGACCATAAAGACGCAATATATAGCAATAAGTTCCATTTATCTTTTCTGTTGACCCTTTATTCTCAATGGCCATAAATGGAATATTACGATGATTTGCTATTTCATTTTCAAGAATTGCGAACAATCTCTTATCACCATTTTCTCTAACTATTTCATTTAGAGTTGGAAAATTCATCAAGTACTTTTCACAAGAATAGCAAATCAGTTGGGCTTCTATTTTATCTTTTCCAGCCTCTGGCTAGAAAAGGGCGGGGCCGTCCAAATTCTCTGAAAGCTCGGATTGGGTTATGGTATTTTAGATAACTTTTGAAAGGTATACTATATCCTAAACTTAGAATATATTGCCCTGGGAAAAAAGTTTAAATAAAAATAATTATAGAAATTTAAGAGATATCCAATGAGAGGTGAATTTATCTGCCAATATCTTTCTAACGAAGGAAACATGTGTGGACGGGTTTGTGATCGACAAGAGGGGTGCAAAATCTATTAGAAAAGGCGTCAGCGAAGCCCTTGCAAACAGTGTGAAAAACCTACTGCGTCAATGCGCGGGATGTGTAATTTACATGTAGATAAGTATCATTCGAAAACATATTATTATAGAAAGAAGCTAAATGCCTTAGAAAAATCTGTCTTAGTGTCCTAGGAAAAATCTGCTCTAGAAAGTTTTTGACTTCCAGAGGCAGAAGAAAAATAGCAAATTAACTTTATTGGGTCGCTAGAATGGTTTCTCAAACACTCTGCCTTAGGTGCCCTAGGTGACCTGGAAAATATCAGACTTCTTTACTTTTTATTTTTTATTTTTTATCTATGGGTATAGCGAAAATATAGTATACATATAGCATATATATAGCATATATATAGCATATCAATATACAGTATATACCAAAAAGATACCATAGAAAAAACTCATTTTTTTTTTCTTTAGAACTTTATTTTTTACTAGGGCACCTAAGGCATCTAGGGAAGATAATACAGAAACAAGTTAAAACGAAAAAAGAGCACTTTCTTCTATAACAAACTCTGCCTTAGGAAGTGACCTAGTAAAAATTTTAATATTTTTTTTAGGGCAGAACTACAATACTGCACTTTTTGGTAATCAAATGGGTCGGCTATAGTAAATTCAGTTAATTATGGCCAGCACTATTCTATAATTTTGGCCAAATCTTTAAATACAATAACTTTGTATCCAAACCGGTATAAAAGTAATCTGGAACTAATAGAACCTTTTTGGTTTTCTGCTAGTTCTCTGCTAGTGCTATGACACTATCGGGTCACTATCATAGTGCTGAGATAGATTCTCAAATCATGTATTCTAAAAATCGGCCAGAATTATGCTATAGTGCCAGGCAAATTTAAACACAGATTTACTTTGCTACCTGACACAATATTTTTTTACCACATTTTGATATTTTGACAGGCAACTGAATAGGTGCAAAAAGGTAAGCACCTCAATATAGAATCTGGCCAAGACGGCAACTAAGATGGTCTCCAAACAGGCCAAGAAAGGTAGAATCACACATCTTCTCTTCTAATTAGTTGGGCGACCTAGAAAAGAGAAACTAAATAACTGGCCACATATCTGTGGACAGTTTCACAGATTATAATCTACTTGGAACGGACATAATTTATTATAAAATTCTAGACTATATCATTCTAACTAGATAACATTATAAATTCTAGACTATATCATCCTAACTAGATAACATTATAATGCAACTGGATAACAGTCTTATAAGACTGTTATCCAGTAGTTCTTATACGCTACCTGCTAGCTTCTTCAGAGTTTATCACTTACTGCTAGTATGGCACTTGTCATTTAGAAGTAGTGCTTATAAGCTACTTGCTGACAAGTCCAGAGTTTATCACTTACCGAAAAGCAAGTACAGTAGCTTTTCCTCTTTTCTAGAAAAAAGGTTACTAGTTATTAGTTTTTTCAAGGATAAAATACTTTCGTTGGGTGCTAGTAATCCTTTTCTTAAGTCTCTCTTAGTCCTGTTAGTCTTCTTCAAAATTTTCAACAAAAAGTAGGCGATTCAGCTTATCCTTTCCAAAAGATCAGTATTGTTTATCTCCCAAATTCAGACATACCCAGGAATGCAACCACATGCCTTGTTTATTAGTGGATACAATACATAATATAATCTATGAATACGAGCCCCCCATGTAACTGAGATCGGGTCTCTGGCATAAGAGGCATCTGGGGGTAGCTAGTAGTCGGATATTAAAGTTCTTATATTGTAATCGAGATATACAAACATTGCAGTTGTTATAAAATTTTTTCTTAAACCTGGCACAGGTTATAATAGTGTATTTTATTTCTTGTTTTGTTTTTTTTCTCTTGTTTCCTCTGTGCTATTTCTTTATAGAGGTAGTTTCTCCCTTTGTCAGCCCTCGAGCTTTCTCTTTGTATTTCTTTTTTTTATATCTCATTGTACCTTTTTTTTTCCTTTAAATACCTTTTTGTTTTATTTGTTTTTTTTAGTTAGGTTTTCTTTTTGTTTTCTTGATAGTATTGGTGGCTTTGTATAAGATCATCACTTTCTTTTGCTCTCGGTAAAGAAAGGAGATATAAAGGGAAAAGCTTTAATAGGCTGACAAAGTTTATTTAACTTGTATACAGGTTGGGTGACAAGTCGCATATGGGCACGTTTATCGCAGCCAGATAATTCCAGGCTTGCTATCACGGTAACTTCCTGTTTGTAGTTATGAATAATATATGTATTGATCAAAGAGAGTTCAGCTCTTATCTAAATATAGTTGCAATAAATTGAGCACTAGCAAGACTGTCAAAGATTTAAAAAAAAAAATTACTAATTAATAGAAAAAAATTAGTACTTTACTATATACTAATCTAAATCTATTTAATTTCTCTACCAGAATAAATGAGAAAACTAATAATATATAACAATATATAGTAAAATTTTATTAAATTTTATCAAACTTTGACATGAATTTTCTTGATAACTAACAATTAAAATTAGTTAAAATTTTTACTGTAAATAGTATAAATATATATCTATAATATATAAAAATTTTAGATAATTATAATCACTAGTTCACAAAAAATTGCTTGTATATAAGGCCATGCAAAATTAATTAAATGGTTTTCATAACCCGGCCGGGTCAAAATTTGAAAATTTCAAAAAAAAA